TAGTCCCACCCAGGGAGGCATTATTTGTGATATCACGGAAGCCAACTAAGCGAGGCATGACTACAGCTCTACCATGCACAAACAAATATAAACCCCACACTCTTCTAAAAGAAAAACTCTAACGATGACTTTCCTTAAGGAGTAGTTTGAGATAGATTATCATGGTACCGTGCAGACTGAGCAATGCGCTGTTCTGTTTGGTGAGTACCCCAAATAGAGTCCTTCGTAAACTGCTGTACATGGGTCAAGTCGCAAAACCGTGACACAACATGTCGCAAAAGTCAACAAATTGAAGTTAATGAAACATGCACAATTATGTGCACTTTGGTAGACCTTCTTGTGATTGTGCTTCTTAGCATGTGACCTGTTAGGCGTCTAATACGAATAACAATTTGGATATAGACGCGATTGCTAGGACCCGAACTTTGTCCATCCAATATTTCGGAACTCATTATCAGAGACAGTAGCAGAAACAGGTAGACCGTACACAGGGCGTTGCAGTACTGATAGGATAGGGATGCTACGTCATTGCATACCTATGACCTTTAATGGCTCCCCTTATTGAGGGTAGTTTCCCGCTTGTGCGTTACTTACTCGATGACCTGCGCGTGGGTCGTGTCCTGCTGAGGTTTTAGCCCTCGTGCTGCATTTTGGCGTAATGATCGTGTGGCCATCTGGCTCACCCCCACTGGCCATGGAAGGTAGAAGGGCCCAACATTTATCACCGCTTTCTTTCCTTTTAGGGGCACTCCTGTGGGCGTTGCCTTCATGATTGCAGGCGCCGTATTGCGTGTCGACAATATCAAGGCAACCTTCTCAAGTCTGGGTATGTTTATAGTAACTGTTACCGCAAGTCTGGGCATTCTCTTCTTCTGCTGCATCATCCTGTTTGCGGTCGTCACCAGACGGAACCCTTTTGGTTTGCTTCGGGTCTCGATCAAGGCATGGTTTATTAGTTTCGCCACTACAAGTCCGTAAGTTCTATTCTAAAATAAGCCCCCTAGCGCAATCACAGGCATGGTCCGCCATTTTTCTGTTGTTTTGATGTTTAAAAGCTGTCAAAGCAATGCTATCTTATTAGCCAAAACCACGAATTAGCCAGTCGCAAAAAAATTGTGGATTCTAATGTTGACAAGTTGGAGATGCGCTTCACTGTTGCAGGCTAATAATGCGTTGCAAAGGTAGGTTATATAAGCTCTCATAGCCACCATATACATCAGGATCTTTTAAAATGTAATGGTTTTTATGGCAATTTTAGGGGGTGGACCGTCGCCGCGGAGAAGCAGCGAAACGTGCCCAAATTTATTCTTCTAGGCAGCTGTGTAGCAAGGAAATTTAGAGTGCTGTTAAACAACTATAACAAAAAGCAAATTTTAATAACCAAAAAGAATTCGAATAAGAAAAGCCATAATACAACAAGACTGTGTATGTCATCACTTATATGTAATACTTAGCACAAAAGAGCCTCCCGCTCAGTTCTATGAAATAATTAACCAAGTCAGACCAAACTATGCATTTTAAACCCTTGGGCTTACATAAACTATTCTTATCATATACTTTGAAATAAATAAAAAGAGCTCGTGGTTAAAGCGAGGATTAAAACTAAACTTTTAAAGTGGAATCGGGGAAAATGGCCTTACGTAGAATTTTTCAGCTGCCAAACCGAGTGTTATGAAACTAACCGATGGTTCTAAACTCTTGGACGAAAATTCTGCAAACACGTTCCTGGAATCAGTACTGGGTGCACTGCCATAACTCATCGTTCGCTCAGGAAGAAGATTGTAGTCTCCAAGGAATCGTTGGTGTAGCTTAGATTGCAATTCTGTGCAAATTTACCCATAAATGTGACATACGAAGCTCTAACGTCATATCATAGCGGCAGAAAAAACTGTCAAAGTTTCTCAGCATTGATATTTGAAGGCCACAGCCAAATCTCCCATTATTCCTATTTACTTCCACTAGGCACGGCCCAACTGATGTATATATTATGAAAGTTGAATAGGTTCATGCAAATTGCTTAACTAGAATACTATTCAATTGTTTTAATATGTAGATTTTTCACATCTCACTTACAGAGTTGTTGCAATACCCGAAATGTATGCAGGCTGCGATGACTATAAAATAGCCCAATCAACTTCGCGATTTGGCTGTCCACTGGCTAGTGCTCTAAAAGCAGACGGTCCTGCTGCCTTTATTGCTTGTGCGGTGCTTTTTGTGGCTCAGACAGGAACCACACCCATTTCGTCGGGAACAATCGTCGTCATATGGTAAGAAGAGCTTGCAGCGCATATGCTAAGAGTTTTTAAACAGTCATTTACCCCCCTTTCTAAAGCGGCATTTCTTAGGGATGCAAAAATGAGTATGACTTATTGTAGGCTGGAAAAGTCCTTAATGTTGCTGTATTATATACCTTCAGGCTACTAACGTCAGTATCCGTTCTGGCAATCCCTCCTATACCGAGTGCCAGTATTGTTATTACCATGACAATTCTTTCTTCAGTCGGTGTATCTACATCAAGTACAGCCTACCTGTATACCATTGATTGGCTTCTGTAAGTATTTTGCACCTTTTTCTTCTATATAGCCAAAATATAAAAGCTCTCCTATATGCGCAACAGTCTATTAAAAAACCCAGCTCAGTTCAGTGCTTTATGTAACTGTCCTGGTGACATAACCATAGGTCAAATGAATATGAGTTTTGCGAAAATTCCTATGTCAAGATTTTTTT